CTTTTCGTTTTTTTTTTGCTCAGCTGTACGGAGAAGCCGAAACACTGTAGGAGAGTTAAGATTTTGACAACCCCCCCCACAAAAGTGGGCCCCAAGTGGGGGGTCAAAAGTGACATGCGCAAGATTCCCCCCACGGTAGACACACACATGATTGGAAACCTAACTTGAGGGCCCTGATTGTCCTGTCGAAATTCACAACCAGATTTGAGGGGGAAAAATGAAAATGAGAATAAAAATATATTTATTTTTTAATGGCAGAGAGTGGCAGAGACATTCCATTTTTCTGATTCCCCCCCCCCCCCTCCCTTTAAAGGTTCATGATGGGCCCGGTGCCCAAGGCGAAAATACAATGTAGAACAGAGTTTCAGATTCAGGGGCCACGAAGTCTCATGCTCCACCTCCTCTTTGCTGGCGCGGCGCCCCTGGCCGTTTCTCTCTTTACCCGTGTTACATGCAGCGCGTGCACACACGGGCCATTTTGCAGGCCCGACGGCCATTTTGCAGGCCCGACGGTGTTCAGGCCAAAAGCCTGAACTTCAGGCCGAAAGCCTGAATTTCAGGCCGAAAGCCTGAAATCCAGGGCTTACAGGCCCCCTGTCGGCTCAGCCCGAAAGCCTGAAGTCCAGGGCCTATCCCTGGTCGTTTCAGACTAAAAATGGCAACAGCCTTTTTAGCCTGAGACGAAGGGCCATTTTCGGTCGTTCATCAGAACGACCGGCCCTGAAACTCAGGCACCGAACCAGGGTTTCGGAAACAGACTATTATTAGTCTGTTTCCCACGCCAGCCTCAAGCAGGCTGCTGCACGCCAGCCCCTGGCACACTTCGACATTGGCAAGAGCTGCCTCCTCGGCCTGACTGGCCTCCAGTAGTCAGGAGGCAGGCCGAGGTAGTACATAGGACTTCCCAGGCACTTCCGAGGTAGGCAGTTGGCAGTTGTAGTCTTCAGGATTCGGGAGCAGCACTCTGGAGGGAGCGCTGCGTTGTAGTAGTTGTAGCGTTAGCTAGTAGTCTTCAGCGCTGGGCGCAGTAGGTAGCTGTAGTCTCCAGCGTTGGGCGCCATAGCTAGGTAGCACTAGAGAGAGAGAGAGAGAGAGAGAGCTTGGGCGGAGGCCAGAGGTACCTACCTGCAGCGCCGTTGCTCCAAGCTTCGTCTTCGAGGTACCTGCAGCACAGCGCCAACATTACAGGTTAGTATCTGGTTCGTAACAAAGAGAGAGAGAGAGAGTTCTTCTTCTTCTTCTTCTCAGTCCACCATCTCTTCTCTCCCTCTCACTTCTGACTTCACTGCATCTGCAGACTATGAGAGAAGAGATACAGAGCTTGGTGACATTTGATCCAGACTCGACTTTCGGGGGTTCAGACATGGCAACGAGGGACTATTTGGGATTGGTGACCAAAACTTGGTGTTAACGACATTCCCATCTTCCTCCCTCCTTTCGTCTGATCCTCATCTCTTCGTCTGTGTATGTCTGGACGTGGCGCTTTCTTCCTGTGTGCAGTGCCAAGCTCCTTCACACTCGGTGATGGATACAATGCATGTTTAGTCTGAGTTCAACATTGATTGGGCTAGTTAGTAGCACTCTAGCATTCTGCTTCGTTACTCCGAAATACGTGAATGAGGTCAGCCCTGTCAGGTCAGTCTTTGTATCAAAGTCTTCCCTGCGCTCTTCAGCATCTTTATGTATGAATGAGAATGTACATTGCTTGTCGAGATTCTACTCGTACCGCATTTGTCTATTCAGTCCTTTTCATCACATTGCAGATTCTCGGTTTATTACGTACATTGCATATTTGTGCATGTAACACCCGTCTTGGCCTCTCTCGTTGCCTTCCAAAATGTTGTTATCACTCTTAGGGCCTGGTTAGACCCTCCTTGGAAAATCCTCAGGAATTAGGAGGAAGTCCTTGGAAAATTGTACGCTTTTCAGCGTCTGTCATTACACCGCGTCCTAATTGAATGGGTCCCAAGGAAAACCCTTGGGGTTATCCTGCGGCCAATTTCATACGTATATATGCGGCCGCGGGGGTGAATGTCCTTCATCGTGGTGGGATGTCCGTGCTTCCTCGGGCTTGGTCCGGTGGCGGTAGCAGGGTCCACGGAGGCCTACACTGGCGTGAAACGTCTGTGTGGAGGAGTACTGGCGGCCATGGCTTAATAGGCGGACACTGGAACGTAGACCGATGTAGCACCCACTGTAACAGTTGTCCCGCGCGACGTTGCTAACGGGTTCCACATTTGTCTTCTGGGCATCCGTGACAATCCTGTGGCCCATCCTAGCTGAGCGCACATGGCACGATTCCGTGAAGCATGGAGAGTGTTGCCGCCATCCCCGTCCACATGGAGATAATGGAACGACGGCACCAGCGAGTGAAAGGGTGGTGGGCAGTTGCGGATTGCACGTCGTGAGGATGGAAAGAGAGGTGCAGGCCAGTGTGAATGCATTGACAACTTTGGAGGAAAAATACGGTGGTTGCAGTCGTGTCGTCCATCACCATTCGTTATCAGATTGAGAGAACAACAGCTCGCCTGAAGATGAGACTGGCCATCCACAGGCAGAGGCAGCTCATGCATCAAGTGATTGAGGCACCCGATTGTATGTCGTTATCAGAATCCGTTGTGCAATTCTGCTGCGCCATGGCGTCAGGTGTGATACCACGGGTGAGGCAGCTCATGCAACAAGTGATTAAGGCACCCGATTGTATGTCGTTATCAGAATCCGTTGTGCAATTCTGTTGCGCCATGGCGTCAGGTGTGATACCACGGGCGACTCCAAGATGGTGGATGAGGAGAAGGACGGGAGGGACATGGGAGGATCTCCGAAAGATGGACAACGGGGCAAAGGGATACTATAAGGAGAAGCTGCGGATGTCCCGCACAGTGTTTCGAGAGATCACCGAGGCGTTGTCCTCTCATCTGCAGCAGAGGGGGACATTCTACAGGGTGCCTTTGATGCCGGATCACATCATCGCATACGCGCTTTATCGTTGGGCAAGCATGGAGACGTACGGGACCAGCACGTCGTCATTTGGCATAGGACGCGCGCCAGGATTGATTGTAGTGGAGGACATGACTCGGGTGCTTCTGAGGCTGTACCGGGAGAAGATTGTTTGGCCTTCTAGGTTGCGGCGGCTGGTCGTTCTACACGCGTTCGAGGCGAAGGGTTCCCCCAACTGCTATGGCTACATAGACTTCACGCACATCTATGTGGACAAACCAGCAAACGCGCCATCCGAGAACTACTCGACCGGAAGCATCGTTTTTCGGTGGTTGCACATGTGGTTGTGGACTTGGACTTGCATGTAACAGACGTTTTCGTTGGCTATCCCGAGAGCTGCCACGACATCCGGGTGCTTCAGCTTTCTAGTCTGTGGTCGCCCACCGAGGAGGGGGATCTTTTCCGTGGACCTAGTGTGCTGCTGTCGTTCGGGGTGAAGACACACGGGTACATCCTCGATGATCATAACGACTATCCTCCCATGGAGTGGATCGTCGTGCCTTATGGAGAGACCAATCCATTCGCCAAAGAGGAGAGGTTTGACAACAAGTACAAGGTAGCCAGAGAAGTAGTGGAGAGAACTTTCGGGAGGCTGAAGGGGATGTGGAGGTTTTTCCTGCACGCATAAAACAAATATGGACTCCCCCACAACAGTTGCAAGTCTTGTGCATTCTGCACAACATCCTGCTGGATGACGACATAGACTTCGATGAGAACTTGTTGCGAGAGGTGGACGAGAATGGTGTGCGTCAGTGAGTGGACTTGGGGTTGGATCACCCACTCTGTCTCATTGCTGAGAACTTCAATCGGCCCCAGGCACTGGCCTTGCGCGAAGCACTTGCGGAGTGCATGAAACACGAGCGAACGCCTGAAGTCTCTCCACGACGGTAGCTTGGTTGTTGATCTCTTGCAAAGGATGAACATGGTGATGTTCGGGATTGGAAGGAGGGTGTTGAAGTACTCGGGTCACAGTGTCGTATAGTTTTGTCACTGGTCTACTTTGTGCAATTTTTATTTTTATTGTTCTCCTTTTGTTGTTGTTAGTTTTTTTCTATTGTCGAGCATTTGAAGGCGATGGAGGGGTGCTTCATCATCGATTTTATGAAGATGACGCTATCACCTTTATTTTGTGTTTTGAATTTATCCAACACTTTCTTTCGCCCTCCTTCGACAACCGTTTGGGCAGGTTACAGTTTGAAGTTATCTCCTGGTCAATTTTTTGTTCAATGTATTTTGTATGCCTTGGGTGATAGTTTGAGCAGACACACATCGAAGGGTTTAATTATAAACGATTTTAATAATTGTTTTCTTAAATGTGTTTTTTGTTTCTCCCTCTTCCGCAACTCCGTAGTGCACAAGGCCACGTAATGAATAAATCTATCAATGAATGAACCGATTAATCAATCAACAAATCAGTTACTCAATCTTTAAGTCATTCAATCAAGCGGCTCAATCAATCTAGCAGTCAAACAATCAATCAATCAATCCATCAACCAATCGATCAATCATCCAATCAATCGAACAATCAATCAATCAATCAATCAATCAATCAATCAATCAATCAATCAATCAATCAATCAATCAATCAATCAATCAATCAATATATCAATCAACCAGCCAACCAACCAACCAACCAACCAACCAATCAATCAAGCAAGCAAGCAAGCAAGCAACCAACCAACCAACCAACCAACCAACCAACCAACCAACCAACCAATTTATCCACCAAAGTTCGACACACGTTCAGCGCCTATCTTCGCGTGTTTCGAAAGAACAATCGATGCGGCCGAAAGGTGCACCGGACAATGAGTTGGTCACTCGCGTATTTTGCACCATTCAATTTTATGACGCTTGCAATGACCGGAGGACGGACTCTCACACATCAGACACTGGAAATAACGAAGGACATGTACATGGAATGCGAAAAGACAACGAACAAAACAAACAGACATAATCGCACACGTGGAGTTTTTTTTTATTTATAATAAAAACAAAAGATGTCATTATTTTAATAGCTTTCATTTTGTACTGCACGTGCTACACGAAAAAATGAAAAATGGAAAATTTCCCGACCACCTTTGGTCGGCTACCACATACACGCGCCGCAATGAGGCAAGTATCACCCCACCTAGGTATAGAAAACAAGTGTGTGCTCCATCGAACTAAGTACACTGGCAAGAAGTCAGACCACCAAATCGCCCGTCTACATACAAAGCCTCATCGGTCAAACTAAGCCCAAGGGAACCCCCCGCTCCCCCCGCCCACCATACACAGATGAAGACAATGGGTGTGGCGCCAACAACCACGAACGCTTAACTCCATCGACAAACAAAGCGAGAACGGGGCGCAAGACTGCCACTACGGCAACATTCACGACCCTCTATCACCATCGCCTCCGTCCTCCTTCCCTTCGCCATTGAAGGTCCTGTCCCCATCCACTTCATCTTTGGCGTGATATCGGGGTCCACCAAACCAGCGTTGTAGTTGAAGCGCATTCCGCATGTCGCCCACTCCGAGATGTAGTTGGGAAACACACCCGTCGTAAAGGGCGGCTTCCCAAGGCGAGTCAAAATTGCATTTGCGGACTGGACAATATGCATGCGCCAGCTACAGGTTTGCGCCCCTGCCGCGATCAACGTAGGCTTCGCCACGAGTTGCGAGTAGTAGGACGCCTCCTCGTGGGAGCGCGCGTCCTTGACTCCCATGTGCATGATCCACATACACGCGGCGAGATGCAGGCAGAAGGCATCCCCAATTCTGCTCAACCTTGACTGAGACATCTTTCCATCGTCGGACCATTGACCGCCTCGGAGCGCATCGTGATAGAGTGACGTCAACCGCAAAATCGTGAACTCCTGACGGGAAGTCATGTCATCGTCCTCCGGCCTGTCGTCGGTGTACGTCCTCACATACCACAACGGAATGTCCATCTTCAGAGCCAGCGTATGATGAACCACGCTAGGAGAGACCACCCTCGACCACTCCACGCCTTGCCACACTGCTCTCGTAAGATCTGTCGAGTAATAAATGGGGATATGCGACTCAGCGTGGGCGAAGCCATTGGATATGGAAAACGACCTAAAGATCCACCTGTGGATAACACGCATAGCGACATTCTCCGTCTTCCTCGCCCAGCAAAGAGCTGGCTGCGCAGGATCGTCAATTCATAAGCGGGGAACATCGGGAGGTGGCATGATGAGGTCGTGCGGAGCGGTGGCGCATGCGTCACTATTGGCGATTGGGCAGTAGTGGTCTGCGCGAGCGTGCACAACGTCCGCGATGAGGCGACCAAGTCCACTTCCCCAAAATGTTCTCTCGTCTGTCCACAACTTCGACTTCGCCTCCAACTCCTCCTGCTACGTTCTTTTCTTCCTGATGCTAAGAGGCTCGTCATAATCGTCGTCCGACCGCGGAGTTTGATCCCTCCTCTCGTCTTTCTTTCCCGCCTCCTCGTGCGTTCCTTTTTCTTGCCTCTCTCCCCTAGAGTTGGTGACGTCGTGGACAGTCGGGCTTCCTGTGTGTGACAACGGAATGACATTCCTTGATGAGCCGCCGGTTACGATGGTGTTCGAAGGTTCCCCATCGCGCGTTTGTCCCGCATGGACAGGTCCTTTGTTGACGCGTTCCACAACTAAGATGATTGTCGTCGTTGAAGTGATAGCCCTTTGTGGTGCCAAGTCGCTGATGACGATCCATTGCGAACGCACGCTCGCATTCTCACCGACATGTGTAATTTCTGGCACACCAAGGGCGACCAGTCCAATTTAGCGCTCTTTGCCTTACGTCGTCCCTCCCAAATCCAAGTATCAGCATTTATGTTGAAGGGACATCCACGGTCGAGACATCATCTCCTCCCTGAGCCCCCATCCCACCCTCTGATCCATCAGCGCGCGACTTTTTGGACTTCGGGACGTGTCCCTTGCCGCTCTTCCCGCTCCCGCCTTCACCGGATCCATTGTCTCACCTTTTCAATTGTGATTGTCCACGTGGAGCCATGCGTTGTCAATCCATGCCGCCCCTCCTGAAAAAAACAGCGAATGAGAGTGCCACGTGATGTGGACAACGCCGCAGAGAGATTGGTGAGCGCTCGCCTACTATGTCAAGGTGGAGGCATCTATCAAAATAGCGTTGGAGACTACGATGAACTCCTGGCGTTGTGGAAGATGGCCGCCAGGCGAGACAAGGCATTGACACCAAGGGCGTGTAGCACATGTGCAGTAGCAGACCTGCACCGACCTTTATAGTGATTTTCATGCCCATTCCCTGCCCCGACGCGCTGCCAGCGAGATGACATGGATTTCATGTATGCGGACCAATGGCAAGAGTCTAGGATCCGTTGACGAACAACTCATAATCAAAAGGTCGGTGCGCCCATGCGAAGTGACCGCCTGCCCAGCAATGTGGACACCTGCCCGCTCGGCCACCACGGACTACTGCGCGCGCATGACACTCCAAATTTTTTCGCCTTCAGGATGGCCTTGTACCCCAAGCCACCCGCAAGGCACTTCATAACAGCTCCCACCCCTCAGTCACACCACTCCAAACATGAAACCATGCCCCGACAACCCCCTCGCCCCCGGACCCTCGCCATCAGCTACCGATAGGTAAGAGCAGCCACCCCTGACTCCTTGCATATATGTTCGTTTGTTGTTGTGACAGTCTTAATTTAATCTCTCTCTCTCTCTCTCTCTCTCTCTCTCTCTCTCTCTCTCTCTCTCTCT